TGTCGAGTACGACGTATAGGCATGGTGACGAGTATCTATACATTGGTGTCTAGCATGACCGTAAGTCCTTATATCCCGATTATTATCCAGTTTACTTCCTTGCCCCTTATCTGTGATTATTGTTTGGGTGAGGAAGAGTGATAAAGCACGAAGGGTGATGTCGTGTACTGTTTGATATGGTAAGGAAAGAGTGTAATGCACGAAGGGTGATGTCGTGCCGTATGATGTGCCATTCCGTACTGATATCTATTGATTATATTGTGAGGAAAGAGAGTAAAAACACGAAGGGTGATGTCGTATATTGCTTGATATGGTGAGGAAAGAGTGTAAAGCATGAAGGGTGATGCCATGCCGTACGATGTGCCATTCCGTACTGATATCTATTGATTATATTGTGAGGAAAATGAGTAAAAGCACAAAGGGTGATGCCATGTACAATTTTATTTTATATATTGCTTGGGTGAGGAAGAGAGTAAAAGCACGAAGGGTGATGCCGTGCAAATTGTTGATTCCTTTTGATACTTGTTGATATTATTACTTTGTTGTCTCCTTCTTTTATTAAATATTTCTATTTGAAACGGTTACCTCCCCACATCATGTTTCCCATCCCACATTGATTGGTTACTTCCAGTACTTCCTTTGTTGTCTATATATATATACTTGAACTGCACAGGTTTATTTGATTGTCTGGTCCTAGCCTCGTCACTACTTCGCCGGGGTTAGGCTAGGCACTTACCAGCACATGGGGTCGGTTGTGTTGATACTACACTCTATGCTCTTTTGCACGGATACAGGATTCGGACAGCAGCAACAGTAGCGCGAGTGTGAGCAGTCAGATTAGTGAGACACCGAGGTAGCCTTGCAGGCGTCCACAAGCTCGGCGTCTCCTCTATCTATTATTTTAGTCTGTTATCTCATTGTATTCGAGACAAACAGTTTATTATTTTCTTTCAAACGATTGTATTCAGTATTCTTAGAAGTTCGTGAGTAATGTGACACCAGTTCTTGGGTAGAGATTTATGTTGGATTCCACATTTACATTCAGTCACTTTAAATTAAGTCTTCCGCATATTTATTTAATTCAGTCTTTTTTTATGCTATTACTAATATTTGATAAAAGAAATAATTTATAAAAGATAAAAGTAGTTAAGAGTTGGCTTGTTTAGCTCTCATTAGTAGGCTCCATCACGACTCCCGAGGGTGGAAAATCCGGGTTGTGACATTAAGTTTGACATGCATGTTGAAAAGTTAAGGACAGGCAGTCCTTAAGTTTGAATTACACGTTCAAAAGTCCAGGACAGACAGTCCTTAAATTTGTGTTCAAAGTTCAAAAGTTAAGGACAGACAGTCCTTAACTTATAGTTCAAAGTTCAAAACTTAAGGACTGTCTGTCCTAAACTTTGAGTTTCAAGTTCAAAAGTTAAGGACAGACAGTCCTTAACTTATAGTTCAAAGTCCAAAACTTAAGGACCGTCTGTCCTTAACTTTGAGTTTCAAATTCAAAAGTTAAGGACATGAGTCCTTAAATTTGACTTGCAGGTTAAAAAGTTATGGACAGACAATCCTTAAGTTTGAATTACACGTTCAAAAGTTAAGGACATGAGTCCTTAAATTTGACTTGCAGGTTAAAAAGGTATGGACAGATAATCCTTAAGTTTGAATTACACGTTCAAAAGTTAAGGACATGCAGTCCTTAACTTTGAGTTTAAAGTTCAAAGGTTAAGGATTGTTTGTCCTTAACTTTACAAAATTTAAGGATAGGAGTCCTTAAGTTTGACATGCAGGTTCAAAAATTTAGGACATACAGTCCTTAACTTTGTGTTTAAAGTTCAAAAGTTAAGGACAATTGGTCCTTAACTTTGAATTTGAAGTTCAATTACACTTAGTCATGAACTAATACTAACAAACTCAATGGACAAATCAACACTTGAGAGAAACAAAGAAATTAATAACATGATGCCTTGATATTACTTTTGAAATTGTAATTTTGCATAGCTGTGACAAAAAATTATGCTAAGCAAACAAAATATAAGTGACTTTTGAGGAATTTACAGAATATTTCAGAAGTTTTCTAAACTTGCAGAATTCATATAGATTCTTTACAGCAATTTTATACAAAAGATCAGCCACAACTAACTTTCTTTACAACTAAACTACAACCCCTTTGGACATCAAGTTTCATTTTCACTCTCATAATCATCGCCAACATTTTCTGGTGGTGTATCATAACCAGAATTTCTTTTCCACTCACCATGTGCCCAAAGATTTGCGGCAAGTTCTTTTCTAAAGTCTTTTATGTCTTCAGGTTGGAATTTCTCCACATCCTTTCCAATCATCAACAACTCCACATATTTGATCAGGAATACACCACAATCAGTCCTAAGAAAAATGTAAGATATGCAGTGAATAACAATAAATCTAAAGTACATATAAATAATATAACAAATAACAACACGTACGATCCAGAGTAGTGTGGTGATCTTTGCCACTGAATATCAAATTTGTTGAAGGCATTTCCAAAAGACTTGTGATGTTTGTCAAACTGTGAGAACTTTAGCAAGTGGGGGATCATGTGTTCATATATTTCCATGTGATTCATTCCTGCCTCATATGGCTCATTATATATGGAATCGTATACATCAATCTTTTTCTGATTCAAGTCCAATACCCCCAAAAGAAAGTGTGACACAACATTATCATCTTCTGAAGGAAGCCGACATGGAAAAAAGATTTTGTCAACCTCTGAACAAGCAATTCCACATCTACGACTGTCCCCCCATACATATGGTGTCAGAAACAACTAATTATCACCAGCACACCAAAAGTCATCAGTAGCATCTTCACTGAAATCCTTATACACAAACACCATATAGTTATCAAAAAGAATATCAGTAGTTGTGCAACGAAAAGGATGGTCGCGAGGGTGGTATCACTCCTTCTTTCTCAGATAATATAGGGCAATGTCAATATGCTTCATAAAAAGGCAAAAAATAAAATAAATCCATCAGTCATAAAATAATTATAAAGTGATAAATTAAGAATAAAGAAAATAAATGCCTTGCGAATTATCTAACCTTATCATCAAGTACAAAGCTACTATCTGAAAGCTCAAGGAAGAACATTTTGCTACTGATTTTTTGATGATACAATTTGTATGGATTCTTTCTCACACCATTATTATCAGCATATATATTAGTTTGTCCCCTGAAAATTTTAAAAATATCAGAGTTAGAAGTTAGTCCTGAACTTAGCCTTTCAAGTTGAAAAATTAAGGACAGGCAGTCCTTAGTTTTGAATTACAGGTTCAAAAGCTAAGGACACTTGGTCCTGAAGTTTGAGTTTCAAGTTGAAATTAGACTTACAAGTTTAAAAGTTTAGGACACTTTGTCCTTAACTTTGAGTTCAAAGTTCAAAACTTAATGACTATCTGTCCTTAACTTTGAGTATCAAGTTCAAAATTAAAGACAAGAGTCCTTAAGTTTGACTTGCAGGTTCAAAAGTTAAGAACATGCAGTCCTTAACTTTGAATTACAGGTTCGAAAGTTAAGGACACATGGTCCTGAACTTTGACTTACAATTTCAAATGATCAGGACACTTAGTCCTGAACTTTGATTTCCAAGTTGAAAAGTTAAGGACACTTGCTCCTTAACTTTGATTTTAAAATTCAAAAGTTAAGGACACTTGGTCCTAAACTTAGACATACAATCACAGAAGTTAATTTAGCAATTTCAATATCAATACTGAAATACATTAAGGTACTTACTCTGTTTTGCGACCTCTCCTTTTCTTCTTGCCCAACCGCACAATGAATTTCTTCAATAATTTTGCATCATCTGTGGCATAATGAAAAATACACCTATGAGTATATGTTGATTTTATCCATCCTGAACTCTTGGGAGTATTTTGATTGTCTTCCATCGATGTTCCTGTTTTTCTTTCCTGATCAAAAAGAGATTTCAACTGCCAACTAAGCTTCTTGTTCCTTTTACCTCGACCAAGCTCTTATTCAACATTTCCTTCAACTCCATAGATAAACCCCCATCAATGCTCATTTGTGTACTTGGAGGAGTAGGAGTAAGAATAAAAAAAGACGGACCATCATAACCAATACTATCTCTCTTTCTTTTCCTCGTATATTGGTTAAGAGCTTCATAATTGTTTTCCTCTACAAGAAACACTATATATATATATATATATACCTCGAGTCGTCAAATGAAGAGACAAAATTTCAATTATGAATATAATATTTAGGACACAATCAATACCTGTCTTCTTCACACTGCCTTCTTGTGTTTTTTCAACAGACAATTCAGCTAACATATTGCTTGCATCATTTTCTTTATCTTCCAACTGCACATTTTCTTTATCTTGCAATTGTTCTCCATGTTCTTCAGTTGCAAGTTCACAAGATTCTGCAGAATATTTACAAGAGCTAACACAATTAGTACTTGTTACTAATCTTTGATTAAAACAAACATGTATAAAATTTAAAAAAATACTGTCTAACCGTTTGCAATAGTCAAGATCATCCCAATTAAATCATTATCTTCACTAACATTTTCTTGGGTTCAAATATTGTCGGTAAGAGAGGGAGGTGTAGAGAGATCACATGTTCCATCTATGCATTTGGAAATAATCTCACTTCTGCTTGTTCCTTCGGTATTTTCTACGTCTTGAGATTGTACTCCACTTTTCTCTTGATACTCCACTCCAGCTTCTTCCCTTGCAGCTTCAAAAGATTCTGTAACATTTGCAATTAATACCCATTCTAATAATTCACTAAAACAAATATTCAATATATAATGAAAATTTTATCTAACCTTGATTGGCACAAGTTTGAACTCCAAATTTCTCTTTATATGACAGAGGTGTAGACAAATCATATGTTCCTTCTAAGCATTTGCATACAATCTCACTGACACTTGTTCCCAATGGACTTTCTAAATCCTCCTAAGATTGCAATCCACATTTACAAATTTTTTCTGTTACTCCTGTCTCATTTGGATTTTTCTGGTCTTGACATTCTCCTACATCTTCAACTTCCACTCCATCAATAGATTCTACAAATATTTGTAATCACAAAAAAGTTTCTATGTATTACGCTATTGAATATAAATTTCAATGAAAAAAAATTCAAAATCTATATCTAACCTTTCCCAATATCAGTGACGTTCTCAGTTTCATCATCTAGATATGCATCTCTAAAATCGCTTTCATACTGAACTTCTGCATGCATATCCATATCATCACGTTCATCACCACCTGCATCTTTATTGATTGTAACAGTAGGCTATGTACTACGACAATGATCATCAACTCCATCTTTAGTAATTGGAACACTAGATTCTCTTTCTATGTTCCTTTCATCAGGTTTCACATAAATCTTCAACAAAGTATCAAGCTTTGTTCCTAGACTTTTCTTTAAATCCTGAGAAAGAAAGTAAGTTAGATAGTTAAGGACAGGTAGTCCTAAACTTCAAGTTACAAGTAAAGAAGTTAAGGACATACAATCCTTAACTTAGAGTAACAAGTTCAAAAGTTAAGGACATGACATCAGTCCTTAACATTGAATTCCAAGTTAAAAAGTTAAGAACACTTGGTCCTGAACTTCAACTTTCAAATTGAAAAGTTAAGGACACTTGATCCTGCACTTCAAGTTTCAAGTTCAAAAGTTCAGGACCACTTGGTCCTAAACTTCAAGTTGTAAGTTCAAAATTTAAGGACACTTGGTCCTAAACTTCAAGTTGTAAGTTCAAAATTTAAGGACACTTGGTCCTAAACTTCAAGTTTTAAGTTCATAAGTTAAGGAGAGGCAGTCCTTAACTTATAGTTTTAAGTTCAAAAGTTAAGGACACTTGGTCCTAAACTTCAAGTATTAAGTTCAAAAGTTAAGGACAAGCAGTCCTTAACTTATAGTTTTAAGTTAAAAAGTTAAGGACACAAAGTCCTGAACTTAGACTAACTGAAATTAATGATATTACCATGATTTCATTCTCAAATTCTGATACAGCTATTTTCTGATTTATTCTAGTAACTTCAGCTTGCAGATCCTTCTTAAAACTCTCTGATAATCTCTAAATCAAAAAACATAAAAACAAAAAAGTCTTGCAAGCAAAAAATAATCAAATAAAAAACTAATGCTATTCAAAGGCAGAAAACTTACTTTAACAATTTCCTTAAGCATGGCTTCATCAAATTGTGTGGAAGAAGGCATTGAGCTTTGATCTTCAGAAATTGGCTCTTCCACACTAATAGGCTCTGTATCTTCTTGAACATGAATAAATGGTGACACCTCGATCAACTTATACAACTATAATATAACAAAAAATAAACATAACTTTTCAGAACTATAACAAATAAATAAAAAAATAGCTAGTAATTAGATTAACTTACATTTTCATTATGGAAGTATTTTTTACATAGAGAATCATACTGTGGAGATTTCATTTCCGAATAACATTACATCCAAGGATAACCAAATTCTTGGAAGTTCACAAATTATTTTTCCTTGAAAATAGGAATTACTTCCATAATCCAAACACAAAAGGCAAAAGGAAAGCCAAGTATAGTGTAGCTATCCTTGTCTTTATATTTGTCTTTCTCTTTCTCATTCTCATTCTCATTCGGCTTCAAACAACTCTTCAATGATTTTAGTAAAGTTTCATAAGAAAGAGAGCACCGGTTGAAAAAAGACCAGAGTTCATCATCGTCTACAATTTTCATTATCTGCTCGGACACATTCCTATTCTTCCTCTTGCCCATCAAAACAGATTCAACAAAATAAATTATTGCCAAATTCACAGCATCATCATCGCTGCCTACAAATTATGCAGTTGTACCATGTGGGTGACTGGTAATAAAATTAAACAAATCACCCAACTCAACTCTATCCTTTCCGGGGAAATAAATTTTCGAAAGCCTATTCTCTTTTTCATGTAAACCTTTTATGTCTGGTGAGGAATAACACTTTAAACCAGTAATTATATGAAATGCGTCACGTGTAAACTTAATTTCACGGTCAAAAACCTTGAATGTCATCGAATCAGGGCCATTATTTACAATTTCTGAAAGCAATACACAGTGAATAAGTTTACCACATAACTTCACACTTTCTAATCGTAAAAAGTTTCCGAAAATACCATCCCTCAACTTCTTCCACTGTCTGTTTGACAAAAAACTTTTGATTGTTTTCTTATACTGTAAATCTCCTTTCCAATAGATCATAAAATTACGCCAAACATCAAAATCGAACATACGATCTCCTTCCATTATCACACGACAAAGAAGGAAAAAGAAAATAAAGATTAGGACTTACAGTTAATTGGAGGGACTTGGTCCTTAACTTCAAGTTTCAAGTAAAAATGTTAAGGACAAACAGTCCTTAACTTAAAGTTTCAAGTTGAAAAGTTAAGGACAATAGGTCCTGAACTTCAAATTCGGAGTTCAAAAGTTAAGGACACTTGGTCCTTAACTTCAAGTTTCAAGTAAAAATGTTAAGGACAAACAGTCCTTAACTTAAAGTTTCAAGTTGAAAAGTTAAGGACAATAGGTCCTGAACTTCAAATTCGGAGTTCAAAAGTTAAGGACACTTGGTCCTTAACTTCAAGTTTCAAGTAAAAATGTTAAGGACAAACAGTCCTTAACTTAAAGTTTCAAGTTGAAAAGTTAAGGACAATAGGTCCTGAACTTCAAATTCGGAGTTCAAAAGTTAAGGACACTTGGTCCTTAACTTCAAGTTTCAAGTAAAAATGTTAAGGACAAACAGTCCTTAACTTAAAGTTTCAAGTTGAAAAGTTAAGGACAATAGGTCCTGAACTTCAAATTCGGAGTTCAAAAGTTAAGGACACTTGGTCCTTAACTTCAAGTTTCAAGTAAAAATGTTAAGGACAAACAGTCCTTAACTTAAAGTTTCAAGTTGAAAAGTTAAGGACAATAGGTCCTGAACTTCAAATTCGGAGTTCAAAAGTTAAGGACACTTGGTCCTTAACTTCAAGTTTCAAGTAAAAATGTTAAGGACAAACAGTCCTTAACTTAAAGTTTCAAGTTGAAAAGTTAAGGACAATAGGTCCTGAACTTCAAATTCGGAGTTCAAAAGTTAAGGACACTTGGTCCTTAACTTCAAGTTTCAAGTAAAAATGTTAAGGACAAACAGTCCTTAACTTAAAGTTTCAAGTTGAAAAGTTAAGGACAATAGGTCCTGAACTTCAAATTCGGAGTTCAAAAGTTAAGGACACTTGGTCCTTAACTTCAAGTTTCAAGTAAAAATGTTAAGGACAAACAGTCCTTAACTTAAAGTTTCAAGTTGAAAAGTTAAGGACAATAGGTCCTGAACTTCAAATTCGGAGTTCAAAAGTTAAGGACACTTGGTCCTTAACTTCAAGTTTCAAGTAAAAATGTTAAGGACAAACAGTCCTTAACTTAAAGTTTCAAGTTGAAAAGTTAAGGACAATAGGTCCTGAACTTCAAATTCGGAGTTCAAAAGTTAAGGACACTTGGTCCTTAACTTCAAGTTTCAAGTAAAAATGTTAAGGACAAACAGTCCTTAACTTAAAGTTTCAAGTTGAAAAGTTAAGGACAATAGGTCCTGAACTTCAAATTCGGAGTTCAAAAGTTAAGGACACTTGGTCCTTAACTTCAAGTTTCAAGTAAAAATGTTAAGGACAAACAGTCCTTAACTTAAAGTTTCAAGTTGAAAAGTTAAGGACAATAGGTCCTGAACTTCAAATTCGGAGTTCAAAAGTTAAGGACACTTGGTCCTTAACTTCAAGTTTCAAGTAAAAATGTTAAGGACAAACAGTCCTTAACTTAAAGTTTCAAGTTGAAAAGTTAAGGACAATAGGTCCTGAACTTCAAATTCGGAGTTCAAAAGTTAAGGACACTTGGTCCTTAACTTCAAGTTTCAAGTAAAAATGTTAAGGACAAACAGTCCTTAACTTAAAGTTTCAAGTTGAAAAGTTAAGGACAATAGGTCCTGAACTTCAAATTCGGAGTTCAAAAGTTAAGGACACTTGGTCCTTAACTTCAAGTTTCAAGTTAAAAAGTTAAGGATAGACAGTCCTTAACTTATAGTTTCATGTTGAAAAGTTAAGGACAGACAATCCTTAACTTATAGTTTCATGTTGAAAAGTTAAGGACACTTGGTCCTGAACTTCAAGTTTCAAGTTCAAAACTAAAGGACACATGGTCCTTAACTTTGAATTCCAAGTTCAAAAGTTAAGGACACTTAGTCCTGAACTTTTAATTACAAGTTCAAAAGTTAAGGATACTTGGTCCTTAACTTAGAGTTACAAGTTAAAGAGATAAGAATAGGCAATCCTTAACTTATAGTTTTAAGTTTAAAAGTTAAGGATACTTGGTCCTTAACTTAGAGTTACAAGTTAAAAAGATAAGATAGGCAGTCCTTAACTTATAGTTTCAAGTTGAAAAATTAAGGACACTTGGTCCTGAACTTCAACTTTCAAGTTCCAAAGTTAAGGACACTTGGTCCTTAACTTCAAGTTTCAAGTTAAAAAGTTAAGGACACTTGGTCCTGAACTTCACTTTCAAGTTCCAAAGTTAAGGACACTTGGTCCTTAACTTCAAGTTTCAAGTTCAAAAGTTAAGGACACTCAGTCCTTAACTTTGAGTTCCAAGTTCAAAAGTTAATGCCGTTTGGTTCTTATCATTTATGAACATAGTTAACTAAAAATTCAAAAACACAGTTAGCTTATGAATTCCTACGACTATATTTATGAAATGTCCTTACATAATCAAATATATTGATTGAACCACAAACACATTTCACATTTCAATACCAAAAAGTTCTGAATAACAGCATCACAAAAATACGCTACTTCTCCGACACTGAATCAACTTATAATGATCATTTTTGAAATTTCACACATACTTGACACATCATTGATCGCGATTATACATATACAAAAAAAAAGGAATAAAAGAAAAAAAATTACCAGTTCGATCGTTCGATGCAGAGAAGATGACAGAGAAGATGAAGAAGGAGAAAGATTAACTGCAGCTCGTTTGCATGCGAGGATGATACAGATGCTGAGAACACACGAAACTTGCCCTGAAATATTCGCTCTCAAATTTTTCCTCTTCTGAATGAATAAAACAAGGGTTTGGGAATATAAGAATTGAAGAAAGGGTAAAACTGACTTTTTCCTATTAGTAGTGGCTTTTTTTGCTGAGCATTATAATTAGTGATAAAAATTAAAGACCCCCTTAATTAATGGCTACTACACACCATTTTTACGATAAAAAAAGAATAAGAATTACTGGGCCTAGCTCAACAGCAATCGGTTCTTTTCCAGTGGAGTGAGCTCTCTTGTACTTACCCCCAGTTGGGATGTATGTGTTTCTAGAGAACAAGGGTTTTGTGGATGAAGGAAGTTGGATACTTTTTGACTTATGAAGCCATGACAAATGTTGTTTGTCCCTTTTTATAATAAATGTGAAATGAGAACTTGATTTAGTTTTACGGATTTTGGATCGTATATCTCAACTCAAGGTTGCAACAAACTTATGGTTGCAGAAATTCCATGTTAATTTTATATAGTATTTCTCAGTCACTAAGTTGCTCTTTCTATTAACTGTGAATTGGAGTTAGTTTGTGGACTTGGGAGCATATATTCAAACTCAATGTTACAGCAATTGACAGTTTCATGAAAACATTCAAGATATGAGTTTCACACTTTTAGTTTCCCGAGGGATGGATGCCCCTTTGTATTTAGTATATGATAAAATCACTAGATGATGCAATAACAACATCTCTATTGTTGAGAGACTCTAGTTAGTAGTTATAATATCTTGAAAACTTAGTGTAAGGTGCATTAACTTAGAAATAAGAATGGTTAGCCTATGTTCATTGCATGCTTTTAAAGTGGGATTAGATAACTTCTGGTCCTTAAGATCTTGTTGATAGTGAGTTTTAATCTTTGCAGTTGATTCATCCAATAATAAATGTTAAGAACATGAAATTCTGAGTGGAGTTAGTTACTACACTTGTTCCTGTTACATCCTGAATTTTGATGCACAAGTAATAATTGAATATATATATATATATATATATATATATATATGACAAAAAGGTAAAGCTGGATTTGAAGAGGAAATGTGATGTATTGAAATATCTTGGCAATGAGTTTGAGACTCTGTTCTTTCACTTTCCTGCTGTCGACGCCAGTCTGAGTTTTATTTTTCTTAACTAGTTTCTTTTCTCTTTCTAGTGCTATATCTACTTCAAATTCGTCTGGTATTACTTCTACTGTGCTTTCCGTTGTATCGTCTATTTCCTTTTGGGTAGAATAATTATAATTATTAAATCTAATTGAGGTTTCTCCTTTTGAGTTTGTATACATTAAATGCGATTCTGGCTTAAATTTTTTGGTTTTGCAAAGTCTTCTAAATTCCATTCTAGTCCAGCATATTCTTCTGGATTTATTTTAATAGGCTTTATTAGTTTTATTCCTTTATTTCCCATTACCTCGACTACATCGTCTACTTTAATTTTGAATCTTGTATTACTACTTGTTGCCATTTTTCCTATGAAACCTACACATATTAATAAATTATTTCCATTGTTCATTTCTTCATATCCTTTAGTCTGTATTCCTATTTTAATATTTTTTCCAAATTCTGCTAAATTTATCATAAAATCTGGGCTGATATAAAATATTCCTCCATTATTTGTCATGTCTACTTCTGTTAAACCTAGTATGGATTTCTTTT